TAAAAGGGATAAGAGTGCCCTCCCTTCCTCTGTTTTTAATCTGGTTCTCTTGATGGGATAAACTACAAGGTCAGATTGGTAACTGGATTATTGCCTCATAAAACAGCACGAGGTTACTATTATCCTTTAATTTTATATCTTTATTAGAGAGCAATGTTGGTCCTATTTAAATCACTGACTTCTCTAATGGTTTTTCTCCTCTTTTACAAATTTATTAAACTAAACCCTAAAGGATTTGGTCTAAGTGCAATTGGGATAACTGCCATTATAAAAATCATTGTGTTAGAAGTTGGTTATAATCAGCAGCTTTAGCTGGGCTCAAAATTTAGTAGGATTTAGCTGTTGATATCCTGGTCCATTAGGTAGGATGCTGATAAAACCATACATCCAAATTTTACTTAAAAAGAAATATCTTAATTTCCAGCAGTACAGTATTTAAATTTTGAGGCAGTGTGAAAATGAACAACAGAGCCCTAAAATCTATTATAATGTTAATGCTTGTGAAAAGTTATATTTAGTACATAGCATTTAGTGCATAGTATATTTATGCAAAAAAAAAAAAGATTAAAATAAGCTTGTCTTGCAATTCAGTCAAGTTGTTTTAAAAATTCTTCAAGGTCCATCTTTTATGAAGACAACTAATACAAGTGACATATTTAATGTTGTATTTCACAGGATACATCCATGTGAATACTGGGGCACAGTGTATGCATCATGAGTGAGACATAGGTGATTCTTAATAGGAGAACTCCTGTTGGACCTAAATGATTAGGATTCATCTAAACAGTTGGTGATAATCCTGATGTTTTAAAGAAAAAGGTGACGTTGATTTCAGTGTACTTTGGTTAGTACAGAAAGACATCAGTGTTCTGTTTGTTGTAATATGGTTCTGTAGTTGACTTTCATAGAGAAGGTGAGATACTTATCACTTTCTGTGACCAACAGTCAGATTTGGAGCATTTACAGCTTGAATGTGAGCCAAGTATTGACTACAGTCTGTAGACTGTAAATGCTGATTTTGTTCTGAATGTTTTATTTTTATGTTGAGTGCTTCACCATTTTTTCTTAGGCAATCTTACTAATGCACACATTTCAAACTCCTAATTAAATTAAAACAGATTTTATGTTTAAGTTCTATGTCAAATATTTCAGGATCACTTGTGAAAATTCACCTTTGTGTTTGGAATTGCCTTTTTCGGCAGGGGCAGATGAGTAATGGCCTGCTGCAGGAAATCCCATGTAGAACTGCTTTTTTTCAAAATATCCATTGTTCTCAGTAGCCTCCTGTCTTAAATTTGCCTATATTGAGTGTTTTAAAGAAAGCTTTTAATTCCACTTTTGTCTCATCTAGACAAAGATCACAAAAATTTTTTACACATGCATGGCTGTTGGCTCTGTGTTGATCAGAAACTATGGAAGATGGTTGCTGTTGTGCTGAAGGTATCCTGGGCAAAGACATCCATGTCTTGAATGCCTTTGAAATTGAGAGGAGATTTCCTCCACCTTGAAAGACAAAATTTTTACAGCTTTCTCTTAAGGTTGAACATGTACCACAGGATTGCTTACAGTTGTTCTTTTCCTTATGCAAGTAAACAGCAAAATTAATTAAATGCCAGTTAAGCTCTTTCTGAAACTTTGAGGGAAAGAAAAGAAGAAAGTCCAATCCAGCAGCAGGAAACAAGGGGAGACTGGAAAAAAAAAGTAAGGCAAGAGGAGTTGTTCCTAGGTGAATACAGGGAGGTGTATGGGGATAAGAGTCTGGTCTGCAGCTCCAATTCATGCAAACAGCTATAAACAGCTCAGATAAGTAATAATTGCATTTATCCAGGTTGAAGACAGTGTAAGGTTCAAGTGCCTAGTGGTCAAAATTTTAAACCAAAATGATTCCATAATGTTTATGTTTATAGGGAATACTCCTAGGTAATAGTATTTTGGGGTACCTTGCTGATAAGCAAATCCAAGTAATGCTTGATTGTTTGGACTACTTAATTTATGCATTTGCATACAATAATATATTTTGCTCTCTTTTGAATGTCGTAGGCTTGATTTATAATTTTATAATTACTGATGTATACAATATCTGTGCCACTTGCTTTATTTTAAATCGTGCAAATTACTTGTTATTCTAAAGTGGATTTTTTTTTTTCTGAGAATGGAGACTGAAATATATTTATGTGACTTTGACTTCTTTAAAACCTACCTGAACGTATCCTATGTATTAGAGCATAGGAAGATAAAGGGGCCCAAGAGATTAGGTTGTCATTCAAGAACCTTTTCTTCTGAGCTCAAGATCAATACATTCCTAACAGCAACAAATTAGGCAAAGGTGACAGACGGCCTGCACAGATGAGAAAGGAGCTCATGGAAAAACTTATATGGAAGAAGAAAGTTTATGGAAAGTGAAATAGGGGTCTAGCCAATTGAGAGGAACATAGGAACATTGTCAGGGCATGCAGGGATCCAGGGATGCAACAAGGAAGGCTAAGGCCCATGTAGAATTTAATCTGGTAAAGAAAGTCAAGAACAACAATAAAGACTTCTTTAAGTGTGTCAGTAGCAAAAGAAACACTAGGGAAAATGTCGACCTGGTGCTGAATAAGGTGGGAGCCCTGGTAGTGGCAAACAGACACTGAGAAAGCAAAGTTACTGAAAGCCTTCTTTGCTTCAATCTTTACAACTAAGAATGCCCCTCAGAAATCTCAAAACCTGGAGTGAAGAGAGTTGGTCTGGGGAAGGGAAGATTTCCTTTTGGTCAAGGAGGATCTGGTCAGAAATCATCCAGGCAAACCTGATGCACTCAGATCCATGGGCCTTGATGGGATGCAGCCACGAGTTCTGAGGAAGCTGGCAGAAATGATTGCCAAGCCATTCTCTATCATTTATGAAAGGTCATGGAGAACAGGAGAGATGCCTGAATACTGGAGGAAAGCCAATGACACTCCAGTTTTCAAAAAAAGAGCAAGAAGGAGAGTCCTGGCAACTACAGGACAGTCAGCCTCACCTTCACCCTGGGAAGGCGATGGAACAGCTTATTCTGGATGCTATCTCCAGGCAAGAAGCAAAGGAGGTTACTGAGAGCAGCCAGCATGGATGCACCAAAGGAAAAGTCATGCTTGACCAACCTGGTAGCCTTGTATGATGTCATGACTGGCTGGGTAGAGGAGGATAGAGCAGTGGATGTTGTGTGCCTTGAATTCAGCAAGGTTTTTGACGCTGTCTCCCATAGCATGCTTGTAGGTAAGATTAGAAAGTGTGGGATAGACAAGCAAACATGAGATTGATTGAGAATGGGCTGACTGACAGAGCTAAGAAGATTGTGTTAAGTGGTGCAGAGCCTAGTGAGAGGCCTGTATGTAACTTCTGATGTTCCCTGGGGATTGGCACTGGGTCTAGTCTTGTTCAACATCTTCATAAGTGACCTGGATGAAGGGATATAATGCAGTCTCAGCATATTTGCTGATGATACAAAACTGGAGCTGTGGCTGACACACTAGGAGGCTGTGCTGCCATTCAGTAACACTAGAATGGGCTGCAGAGTTGGGCGGAAAGGAACCTGATGAGGTTCAACAAGGGCATGTGCAAAGTCTTTCAACTGGGGTGGAAAGACTGCATTCATCAGTACAGGTTGAAGCTGAACAGCTGGAAAAGAGCTCTGTGAAGAAGGACCTGAGCATCCTGGTGGATAGCAGTTTGACCGCAAGTCAGCAGTGCATCCTTGTTGCCAAGACGTCCAATAGTATTCTGGGGCACATTAAAAACAGTGTGGCCTGGGAGGTCAAGGGAGGTGATCCTCTGCCTCTATTCTGCCCCAATGAGGCCACATCTGGAGTACTGTGTCCAGTTCTGGGTTCCCCAGTTCGAGAAAGTCAGGGAACCACTGGAGAGAGTCCAGTGGAGGGCGCCAAATATGATTAGAATTCTCTGGATGATCTCTCTTATGAAGAAAGTGTGAGAGACTTGGGACTGTTTAGACTCGAGAAGACTGAGGGAGGATCTTATCAATGCTTCAAAAAGGCGGGAGTCAAGTGGATGGGGCCAGGGTCTTTTCAGTGGTGGCCAGTGGCGGATGGGGCAATGGGCACAGACTGGAACATAGGAAGTTCCACACAAACATGAGGAAAAGCTTCTTTCCTGTGAGGGTGACAAAATATTGAAACGGGCTGACCTGTCCAGGAGGCTGTGGAGTCTCCTCTGGAGATATTCAAAACACACCTGAATGTCTACCTGTGTGAGCTACTGTGGGGAATCTGCTTTAGGATGGGGTTGGATTTGATGATCTCCTGAGGTCTCTTCTAACACGTACAATTCTGTGTTTTTGTGTCTTTATAGTTAAGGTTACTGTAATCATTATTGCACAGAACTCTCAGTTTTCATAATTAATATTTCAATATTTGATAACAATGATTTACTGTTTGAGAGAAGACATAGACATCGTGGATAATTAGGATATCTATCATTTAGCACATTGCAGGGAGTTGCTTGTTGTAAGCCACTTAGTGTATTTTATTTAATCCTAAAGGAATTTAATGGACCTGTGAATAGGGACTTCATGCTGATAATTGTGTAATAACCTTTTTCTTCCAGACACTTAAAGACTAAGAAATAGTCATTAAAGGTGTATTAATCAGTTTTGCTCTGTGTTCCATAATTGTCTGCCTAATATGTCTTCCCAAGGGTTATCTTCATCTTTTTTTTTTGGCCTACTTAAACAGCTGGCAGTATTAAACAGCTTTGTTATTGGTTTGTTTTTATAGCTGTTTTTTCTTGACGGAGTGGAAAAATTATTACTTACGCATTGTTTCTGTTTTAGATAGCTTTCCAAAAGAGTACTGGAGGTGTTGAAATTGATATATAAATTAGACTTCAAGGAAGTCATTGGGAACTTTGATGCAGATTTTAGTGGTATCATAGTCTCAATTGTTTATTTGTTTATTGCAGATTTATTTAGAAGCGAGGGCTACAGACTAATATGTTAACATTTTATCTCCTTTTTAATTTAGATCACTGAGCTATAAATTGAACGGAAGATAATTTCTGCTTGTAGTGAAAAGGAAAGGTGAACAACCTCCATGGAAGACTCTCAGGATCTAAGTGAACAGTCAGTAAGTATAAAAGCTGCTAAAGTTAATGGAAAACAAACAAACTCTGTTCAAAGTGTGTACGAAAGTTTTACTTCAGATTGGAAAATTACAGTGAGATCTAGGAAAAACTTCTAAGCCTCTATATTCAAACTTTTTTTGAGCTCATACATGAAATATGTGGTTTTAATCTTATTTTTTACCACTGAAAGATAAAAGAACATAGTAATATAGAATTTTGAAGAACTAGACTTTCTGAAGAGGTGATGGATATAATTGAAGTACACTTGAAGAATAAAACGTTAGTCTTGCACAGTGATATTTTTTAAACAGCTGTATCACAATATATATAACCACTGTAGCCTGCTAGTTTTGTTAAAGCAATTGTTATCAGAAACATGAACAAGAACTGTCAGGTGATATGCTGTTACAGATGATATACCCAACTCTCTCGTGTTTCAAGAGGATTGTCAGTATTGACAGTATCTCCCTGTCCTGGGTCAGAGGGAGGTATCCTTTGATGAAATAGCTGGTAAATATATGGATAGACGTTTCTTCTATTTCTTTTCTAATTTTTCCTCTCTTTTAAGGATGTGGTTTCCAGACTTCCTTAGCCACCAGGCTGCAGTTCTGAGGAGGCAGTGTGTTCTGATTGAATTTAAACTTGGCTAGGTCATCCCAAATACTGGCTTTGTTTTTAACATCTTAATTTCTAGTAGCCACAATGCTGGCAGATTTGTGAACGCCATGTTCCCCACAAGTCTCAGTTTGGGCTCAGTATACTAAAGTTCAATAAAGGGATTTCATATTTCTGTTTTTACATACTGAAATAGGTTATCCATGTAATAAACTAGTTTTAATATCTTTTTATAGCAGAGACTTTTATATGTAACAGAAGTGCAAGGAACTGAGAAGAGCACGTGTGTTTTTAAGATGTTAGTAATTTTCTTTAATAAGGAGTACTTTGCTCCTGACTGGATAGCTCCTATCTGAGACTTTATCTTGGACTGGACTTTTATTGCAGATTTTAAATGGGACAGAACTGGAAAGTCTTAACAGTGTCTCAAGTCACTGTGGTGGCACTACTCAGGACAGCTGCATGTATTTATGTATTTAAACAGTTCCCAACCAAAACTTTAGGGCATGTAAAAGCTACAGGGCTTCATAATTTAATAAAGTTTTATAAAGGTCATAAAAGATTAAGCAGAAGTTCTCTCATGGTCTGCAAAACAATTACTCTCGGCAATATACATAGTAGAGTTATTAATAGCAAGTAGATGAGCCAGTTTAGCTTAGTGCAAAAATGTGCTTTCATCGTAGTTGAAATGTTTTTGCATCAGTGGATGTCTGATAAATGCATATTTTAATATCCATTTTATTATCTTATCTGATCTCTAGTTTTCCATAGTTACTATATAGCTTTAAACTAATGTGAGAACAGTTCTGCAGATTAAAAATGGAGGTGATGTATACTCCATGTTGCATTATAGATATAAGAGTACTGTTGGTGTCACAGAAAGTCCTCATTCAGGGCAGTAGATTATTCTTTTCCATCTTTGCTGAAGAGCAGCAGAACTTCAGAACAATAGGTGGGAGGAGTCCCCCTTCATCACCTTTTTCCTGCTCGGTGTGCAACCATACTGAGGCCTACCCCAGATGTTGCTATCTTGAGAAAAGCAGTTGCCATGTGAAGCCTGTCTGCATAGAGCAGATACTGAGCCCCACTTGATAGGTCTCTTTGCTGTAATATTAGAGTAGAACTCTTCTTACCGCCAAATTTTGAAAAATAAAATATTGTTCCTGGCTTAGTTCTCTTAAAAACCACAGGCAAGGACTTGAGCTGGAGATCCCAGGTAGAAGGAGATGTTCTCTGTCTGAGTCTTTATTAGGTTAATCTCCAGGAAGATATCAGATGTATATCTTACACCCTTTCATCTTGTATTAACCTGGTGTTTTGTAGTGCTTGGTATGTTTTGTATTGGTTAGATCTAGGCAGTTCTTGGTCATCGTGAATTATTTCTGGTTCTTGATGTGTTCAGGGCACATAGGTATTTAATTTCGGCTTCAGAATTTCTTTCTGGGAGCTGAGTACATAAGATTTAGATCATGGAAATTGTAGGCGCCTAAGAATCCAGCCCCTGCTGCAAGCACATTAGATTGTGTGAATAAGCATGAATGCAAGACCTGTGTTCAAACTTGTGCTGGCATCTTGCCCTGAATATTCTAGTCTGTGGTTACTTGAAAGACTGCCTGTCTCTGCAACTGAGATAGTTTAGAAGGTGCTTGCTGTTGGATAATGTTTGATGGACAGGCAAGTTTTCTGAATAGAGAGATTCCTTTGTTGAATTAATTTCCCTCAGCAGTCTGTTAAGAGCTTTTCGTCACTGAGAAAGGAGTGCAGATGTGTTTACTTGGAATAGCTAAATAATAATGTAAATGTTCAAGTTCTAATTTAAAGAAAAGAAATTATGCTAATTTGTGCAAGTAGATGGTTCCTCGAAAGTATGATATGCTGTAATGCACCTTTTATTCTTATAGTCCTTTCCATAATTCTGAGATTGCTGTTGTTGTTTGCTCTGTCTTCCATTCCTTTACAATAAACAAATACAAAACAATTTTTTTTACAGTTCCTATACTAAAACTGTATCAGTGAAACTCATGACTGTAGTTAGGAGCAACTCCACAGCATCTTTGTTAGCATATGGGAAACAAATTCCTCGACTTTTGTCTCGGGGTAGAAATGGCATGACCACATACTGCTTCTTTCAGCAGTCTAAGTGCACCCCTCTAAGCCTCGACTGGAGTTGCATCTGATGGAAATGAGCAGCTGCTGTGTTTTCTGAGCCACATGCTTGATTAGATGTAATGTATACATAGTTTATTTTGTTATATCACTAATTTATTTATTTTTCCCTATTTTTATTTGTAGGAAACTTCCTTCCCCTGCTGCGTTTCTTTCTTTATGCACTGACTGATAGAAGTCAGCCTCCTTCAATGTGTAGGGCTTCACTTGTGATGAATTCCTTGTGCTTGCTTTCCTTTGCCTCCCAGTCTCATGTAGCAGAGGGAGTGAATCTGGTCTTAGAATGAATATTATTCAGTGATAAAAACAGAGTCAGGACTAGAGCAGAGTAGGGATTATTGTACTTCATTTTTCTTGTCTTTACTCACAGCCTCATAGACCAATAGCCATATTTTGAGCACCAGGAACTTGGTGCATACCACAACCTCACATTGAAGAGGGGGGTGATCCATCAGGCGCAGGTCAGTTCTAGCTGGGCTCCTGCAACCAACCAACAGAGAATGAGCTGGGGTGGGGCTCATCCTTCATTGGTGCTGCACCTTTGAAGATATCTTAACATAAGTTGCTCACAATTCTCTTTTTATTTCCAAATTCAGATGCACAACATGATTGTACAACCGTGCATAGGAGGGAAATGTGCAGTTGATTGATAGAAAGGTTCAGTTTATGAGTATTTTGAACGATAATGAAGAAAATAGTAAGACTTATTTTCCAGTTTGAAGAAAATAATCATTTTTATTATGACGCAATGTTAGTCATCAGGATGCAACTTAGCAAATAAAAGAATACTTAAAGCTACATAAATTGGTTTTATGGAGACAGAAGTGTCTATGGAAAGTATTTTAGTAACTGTAATTACTATAGATTTTATATGCAACATATTAAAAACACAGAAGATATAATGAAGCATATCAGATTTTACGTTGTCTTCCAAATTAATATACTGAGTTTTACTAAATGCTAACTAGAGGTGCATTTAAAAACTCTTCTGTTTAGTTTCGAAATAGAAGAGGAGGAAATGTACAGATCTTATTTACCAGGACCCAGGAAAGAAAAAGGTTTTTAAGTAGAGAGATGATTGATAAAATAGTAAATAAAGTTTAGCACTTAAATAATCCCTTGTTGTGTCTTGGTGTAGCAAACAAGATTTTGGAACTACAGAAGTTTTAAGCTATTTATTTTATTTTTCTTATAGTCATTATTAGCTGTTCAGTCTGTATTAGCAGAAGAAAAATAATTTGGCTGCTAACTGGCTAGTTTAGGGTTTCAAAGGGCCTTATTAGAAACTGATGTAATTTAATCCCCTGGTCCTTTTATATAACAGCGTGCATATTTATATTACTTCATTTTAACCTAGAATTAAACAATAGATTGCAGTTGTGTAGGACAGGACACTAGTAGATGTGAAGCTAAAACTCAATGAATTTTTTTCTCCTTTCTCATGAAATTTGGGTGATCATCAGTACTGTGCACTGGGTAAGTTATTTGGTTTTCATCAGATTATAAAGACCATCATAGCTGTCACTTTTATATGCAGCTGGAACCTTTTCAGACAGTGAGTGTCAATTCTGTGGTTTTTTTTTTTTTTTTTTTTAGTTGTTTGCCTTAATTTCTGAAGGCGTCAGATGCAATCCCCTTGCAGATCAGTTTTCAGGTGTAGTTGGTTCTTTGTTGCTGAATCCCCACAGCCACAGCTTTCAGCTGTTGCAGTTCACTGGAGTGGGCACCCTTCTTTTGCAATGAAGGTTGGAGCCCTGGGCTTTAGCTGAAGCTAAATTTAGTGATATGAAAGATATTGTAAACTTTTCTGCATTCTTTTAAGTGTCAGGCATGTTTTATGAGGCAGCTCTGTATTACCTCAGAGCATGCTTTATGTCTTACCTATAATATCAATGTTTGTAGGACTTGGTATATTACAAGTAATTCATCTTATCAAATTACATAATTGTAGAAATATTGGTTGAAAGGAACCTCTGGAAATTGTCTCGTCTAGCTTCCAATAACAAATTGCTGAAAATATTTCATTGTATTTCAATCTAGCCATGAACTGTACTAAATATCAGTCTGTGAGTGCCTTTTGATGAAAGTGGATTTAGCAAGCAAAAATAATTGCCTTAAGTGATTATTTCAATTTCAATTGAAAACAATCATTGTCAAAAAATGCTGTAACTAGAAGTCAGCTAAAGCAAGTCAAAATGACTTTCCAAGCTACGTGTAGCAG